AGTTTTTTATTTTTTCAAAGCATTTTCCCTGAATATGTCAAAATAATATGTCCCCAAATAACAGTCTGTTTGCTGAAACACAGGGAAAGTTTTGGCCAAACTCAAAATCACCCCAGAATGGATGAAAATGACCCAACAGCACACAAGGGGTAAGGTACACATTTCAGCCTTTATGCAGATGCTGTACAGCATCTTGGTCACTAATCTCGGTCCTGGAGGGCCGGTGTCCCTGCAAGGTTTAGCTCCAACTTGTCTCAACACACCTGCCTTGATATTTTAAGTATACCTAGTAAGACCTTGATTAGCTTGTTCAGGTGTGTTTAATTAGGGTTGGAGCTAAAATCTGCAGGACACCAGCCCTCCAGGAACAAGTTTGGTGACCCCTGCTGTACAGGTATGTCTCATGTCTGCAAGGCAAATATTCAGCTAATTGTTCAGTTGTTACCCCACAACATTTTTTTCTGATGTGTTTATCAGTCAGGCCACAGAATGAACAAGTATTCCCTGTGTGGTGATATGTGAACAGGTTATTGAGATTGGCTGTTCTGTGTCATGATCCAGGGTTGCTGGGGCAACAGGGGCAGAGCCAGCACGAGCAGCCTGACACAGAAGGCAGAAATATTGCTAATGAGTGCATGCTTTAATAAAGTGAAATTCTGAGTTCTAAAGCAATGGTCCACTCTGTTTAACATGACATGGTGTCAGAATGAAAGTCCTCAGTGCACTCCTATCATTTGAGAAGGAGACGAAAGGATAATGTTAAAGTTTCACACGCCCTAAGGTTTTGATTATGCACAGCCATCAAGTTGGCTGGCGTGGAAGCAGCGTTTATCTTGATTTAGAATTTCAACAAAATTTGACAAGGAAGACAGTGATGTACAGGTTCACTGCTCTATGCAATGGGCAAGCAGGCTAAACCCATAATCAGCACATTTTCATTTTCTGTAGAGGAGGAAAATGATTACTACAATGCAGTAGTTAAAAAGTTTGATGAACATTTTGTGACCAAACGCAACTTGAATCTTTACTGTGCTTGATTCACAAACAGAATAAATGAAATTGGGAAAGTATCGAAGCGTTCGTCATGAGTCTATATGAGCTGGCAGAGTTTCATGATTTCCATGCAATTAATGACAAGCAGATTTGTGATCGCATTGTGATTGGAATTGCAAACAGCAACGTGTCGGAAAAGCTGCAGTTAGAGACCGATTTGACGCTAAAGAAAGCGATACATATTGCTCGCCAGTTGGAACTGATTAAAACAAAGCGTTAAAATTCGAGGAGCAGGTGATGTAAGTGAAGTGGGCTACAAGTCTAAGCATGGAGGCAATTTAAGAAATACACAGGAGGTAAATACAGAAATTCTGAAACTAAACTAAGAGATGAAAGTAGTAAAGTTACATGTTCAAGTTGTGAAAAAAAGCACAAATATGGGGCCTGAACTGCTTGGGGTAAACAATGCCGCAGGTGTAATAAACAGGACATTTCGAAGTTGCTAGTAAAACAAAAACTGTAAAAAAAAAAAAAAAAGTGACCAGTGATCAACAAGATGATGAAACTAAGAGAATATGGTTTCTGGGGTCAGTTTCTGATGATGCTAACGAAGATAGATGGCATGTAAAGTTACCAATGCAGGGGACTACTGTTAATTTCAAAATTGATACTGGCGCAGATATCACAGTTATGTATGAACAAACATTTCTAAAATTTCCTGTTTGCCCCTATCTTACTTAAACATCTGCTGACATCTGAAGTCCCGGTGGCAAATTGGACTATAATGGTAAATTCATAGCCTGTACAGAAAGGAAAGGACAAAGTGTCAGTTTCCTGACATAGATTGTTAAAGGCCCATACAATAACAATCTCCTCAGTCATATAACTGCCCGTGAATTTATACTGGTGAGTAGAGTTGATTCTGTCAACATGTAGGACTCTTTTTTTGGAAACTTTAGACTCTTTAACTGCATGCCAATCAAAATTGAGCTCAGAGAAGATGCTTAACGATACAGCCTCTCTTCCCCTCGTTGAGTCCCCTTTCCATTGCTGCCAAAAGTGGAAGAGGAGCTGCAGTGAATGCTAAAGTCACTGAAACTACAGACTGGTGTGCACCAATGGTGCCTGTGATAAAGAAAACTGGCAAAAATAGAATCTGCGTTGACCTAAAGAAACTGAATGAAGCAGTAAAGCTAGAAGGATTCACTCTGCCTAAACTGGAGGATATCTTACCAAAACTATTTGGTGCATGCATTTTCTCCACATTAGATGCGTCCAGTGGATTCTGGCAGATAGCATTGGATTCAAGCTGCAGAAAACTCACAATTTTTATAACACCAGTTATAAAAAAGTGAACTTAAAAACACATCTGTGATGTTGACAGGTTATGGTTAAGAGTTTGACGATTGTAAGCAAAGGATATTGTTAAGTTGATATCTGTAACCAGGATGGAAAAATAATTTGCTTTGTTCTATGTTGCTAAAAGGGAACTTGCTATATATTTACTACAGGGGGGCATCATCACTTTAAGGAGGGGAGATGTGGTGATATGTGAACATGTCGGGGTACAGGGTTGCTGGGGCAACGGGAGCGGAGCAATTTACATTGTAAAAGCACTAGATAAATAAATTGTTCTACAGGTTTTACGTTCAGAAGATGAATAATTTGAGTAAACCGTTCTGAGTACTGGTCAGAGCACAAAGGATGAGGAGACAGGTTATCTACATTTACATTTACATTTACATTTAGTCATTTAGCAGACGCTTTTATCCAAAGCGACTTACAAATGAGGACAAGGAAGCAATTTACACAACCAAGAGCAACAATGAATAAGTACTAAAGGCAAGTTTCAGGTCTGTAAAGTCTAAGAAGGGAAGTGTTAGTAGTTTTTTTTTTTTTTTTGTACAATTAGTGTGATATTCTGTTTTAACAGTTTTAACTGTTTTAACAGTTTATATTGAATGTTGAGGAGTGGACCCCAGATGAAAATACAAGGATGTACATAGTCTGAACAATAATAAGTACAATAAAAATAATAAATAAGCTACAAATGTATAAACAAAATTTGCTGTTATGTATTAAACCAGTATTACTTATTAACATCAGTGACATTTTTTTACTAAACAATTTAGATAAGTAGAAATGAGATTTATCTGGAAAAAGGTCTAGATTAAACATTCATGTGTCGATAGAATACTCATTCACATGCAGGTATACATTAAATGCCCAGAAATGCTACAAATTGTGAGGCAGTTAAACAGTCTTTCAGCCATACTAGCCCCTTTCCACGTTTGATCTATAACATATCAGATTCACATTACAATATAAACTGTTAGGAAAACCTCAAAGGAAAATAATAACGGCGATCTGAATAACTGAATGATCATTACGGGACATGTCCGGGCTTGTTCGTATACTAAAGATGTATATAAAATTGTTTGGGTAAAACAGAAACCATTAACAAATTAATAACGAAAGGGCTTATTTTGAGTCCAGTGACTAGCATCCAGATATTGCATCTGCAGCAATCATTGAAAGCGAATGGGTATAAAACGTCCTCTCAGCTGTTAATGCGCACAGCTTTCACGCACCCGCAGACATCGGCAGCTCCTCTCACTTAGGGATGGCTGATGTGAAACTGACGTTTCGACACAGTGTCGAGATCCTGAAGCACAAGTATTTTGAAACACTGCACCGAAGCACCCAAGTCACATGACTTAAGTGTTTCGAAACACCTGGTCACGTAACTAAAGCGATTCAAAGTAATGATCAGCTCAGAAGACCTGGCGAATCTGTATTTGACTACCAAGGTCAGAGAAAATCCCTGTTTCATATGGCCTAGTGGACTGTGCGTGTGCCTGCTGTTGCTATGCTTCGAATTACTTTTTTGGTTCGAATCCCAACTTGTACAAATACTCTGAAATCATGGTTTTGTGTGTTTTAATCATGTTTCTGTTTTGTGTAGCCTAAATAGGATACAGCTGCAGTTACGCCATCAATTTAGCATCATTTTTGTAACACTGTAAAACAATAATTAATATTTTACAGTACTGTGATGGTTGGGTTTTGGGTTTGGGTAGACGTTAATAAAATGCAATAAATGGAAAATTTAATGAATAATATAAATAATTCTTGACAACTTCAGGCCACATTGTCTGATCTAGAAATAACCCTGTTTTAAGACCAAAACAAGACATATTTATTTAGAAAGTGTTTATTCGGTTGTCAGACCAACGTTGAAACAAAACAATACAAGAACAAAGCATTACCAACTGGTATTAAAGGATTTCAAAATGGCTATATTAGCCTGGTTTCGAACCCACTATCCCCGCATGGTAGTCAGACACCTTTACCACTCCACTAAGTAACTTGAAGATTCAATTATACAAAGTGGGGTGTTATTACCTCAATTTGCTCAACTGTTCTTTGCTAAAGCTGTTTCAGTGCAATACATAAAAAATGACCACTAGATGTCACTGTAGAGTGGGGTTTCGAAACGTTTCACAGCTTCGACACATTTGCTTTGACTGTTTCAGTGTTTCATGAAGCCTCGCTTTGCCCACCACTACTGTCACTATGTGCTGCGCTTTTCTTCCACAACACACCCAAACAAGTGCGGTTTCAGAATAAGAGTCCCATTTGTAGGTAACTTTACTAGGTAAATAAACATGAATTGCATTAAATCTGCTTAAATGTGTACACATTAATGGACAGAACTAAATATTATCTGATTTATTTTACATTTAATGTGCATCAAAATTACAATGTGTGTAGCCAATGTTTTAGTGTCTTCACTTTTCAGCTTTTTATGAGAGTTTGTAAGACTTAATGAAAACTAATGTTTTATCTATTTATTTCAGACCTAAGAGAGAATGAGGGGAGGAAAGAGGAGGAACATCATGTCAAAATTGAGGAAAAAAACTATTTACAGACTGATGGTATTTTGAAAAGGACAGACAAGACTCGTTTCACTTGCACTCACTGTAGAAGGAGTTTTGGAAAAAAAGGCTATCTTAAGATTCACATGATGATCCACACTGGAGAGAAACCATTCACATGCACTCAGTGTGGAAAGAGTTTCAGCTGCTTATCACACCTTAATGTACACATGATGATCCACACTGGAGAGAAACCATTCACGTGCACTCAGTGTGGAAAGAGTTTCAGCAAATCATCACACCTTAATAAACACATGATGAGCCACACTGGAGAGAAACCATTCACATGCACTCAGTGTGGGAAGCGTTTCAGTCAATCATCATCCCGTAGTAAACACATGATGATCCACACTGGAGAGAAACCATTCACATGCACTCAGTGTGGAAAGAGTTTTAGCCAATTATCACACCTTGATCTACACATGATGATCCACACTGGAGAGAAACCATTCACGTGCACTCAGTGTGGGAAGAGTTTCAACTATTTATCACACCTTAATCACCACATGATGATCCACACTGGAGAGAAACCATTCACATGCCTTCAATGTGGGAAGAGTTTCAGCAAATCATCATCCCTCAATCAACACATGAGGATCCACACTGGAGAGAAACCATTTACATGCACTCAGTGTGGGAAGAGTTTCAGCAAATCATCATCCCTTAATAAACACATGAGGATCCACACTGGAGAGAAACCATTCACATGCACTCAGTGTGGAAAGTGTTTTACCTGCTCATCAAACCTTAATCAGCACATGAGAATTCACACTGGAGAGAAACCATTCATATGCACTCAGTGTGGGAAAAGTTTCAGCCAGTCATCATCCCTTAATTACCACATGAAGTTCCACGCTGGAGAGAAACCATTCACATGCACTCAGTGTGGGAAGAGTTTCAGCCAATCATCACACCTTAATAAACACATGAGGATTCACACTGGAGAGAAACCATTTACATGCACTCAGTGTGGAAAGTGTTTTACCTGCTCATCAAACCTTAATCAGCACATGAGGATCCACACTGGAGAGAAACCATTCATATGCACTCAGTGTGGGAAAAGTTTCAGCCAGTCAACATCCCTTAATTACCACATGAAGTTCCACGCTGGAGAGATACAATTCACTTATACTTAAGCCGCGGTTACACTGTACTTTTCATAACAAGACCTCTCTGGACAGAAATGTAAAATATGGACCAGTCGCTCAGTTAATGTGTAATCATCTTGTTTAATCCCGCCCCTTTTCTAGGGCTGCTCGATTATAGAAAAAATCATAATCACGATTATTTTGGTAATAATTGTAATCACGATGATTCAAAACAATTATCAGTTAAGTCAAAATTATTTACCCTGAATTTTATTTTTGTATATAAATATTTCCCAAATGATGTTTAACAGGAATTTATCACAGTATTTTCTATAATATTTTTTTCTTCTGGAGAAAGGCTTATTTGTTTTATTTCGGCTAGAATAAAAGCAGGTGTAAATATTTTGTAACCTATTTTAATAGCTCAATATTATCAGCCCCCTTAAGCAATATACATTTTTTGATTGTCTGCTGAATAAACTACTTTTGTACAATGACTTGCCTAATTACATGAATTAAGCCTTTGAATTTCACAATAAGCTAAATACTAGTATCTTGAAAAATATCATCTTAACAAAGATAAAAGAAATCAGTTATTAAAGATCAGTTAGTAAATCTGTTTGGGTTGAAAATAAATCTTTCCATTAAACAGAAATTGGGGGAAAGGGTCGCTAATAATTCAGGAGGGCTAAAAACTCTGACTTTAACTGTAAATATGCACAGTTATTTTCCTCCCTGTAAAAAAAGGGAAAGGGAAATACATACAATAGAATAAAAATATGAAACAAAGTGTGCTTTAAAAATCTTAACTGTTAGAAAAAAAACTTCAGCTACAAACATCCTTCAGTCAAGAGCAGTGAGGGATTTTCTCCCTTTGTTTTTTGATTAATAAGAAAAACAGGCGGCAGCAGGAATATTGCGCGCCTTCTCTTTAAGAATAGTGCAGTATAACTGATATGGTTTCTCTTTCACTTGTCTTTTTATTGTTACTTGTTTGTTTATTACACAAATGAGGGTTAATATGAATATTCACTAAACATTACGCTCTGACACAAATCTTATATTTGACCATTAAATCGCTCGCATTAAGATGGCGTTAGATGTGTGTGCTCTGCTTGTCTCTGAGGCTAAGTGCCCAAACACAACAGCATACGCTCTTTTCGCTTTTAAAACATGAATGATTCGAACATACATCAATGAGTGATGCGCATTCCATGCTGCAAACAACACAGTACATGATTTTAGTCATTTTCACGTGAAACTGAGCTTTGCAGAGCAACAAATGTGTACAACTGGAAAGGGGGCGGTATATGATGCAGTAATTGTTTATCTCAATTTAGTTTCATAACCATTAGAAGCCAAAATCAAAATCGAAACCAGATTTTCAATTAATTGCACAGCCCTACCCTTTTTGCAGTTTCGTACAAAAGAATTCCGCATGCTAAAACTCAAGTGTGACAGCAGCTTTGGTGTGGGATGAGTTTCAGCAACTCCCCAGACCTTAAAAAACACATGAAGACCCACACTGGAGAGAAACCATTCACATGCACTCAGTATGGGAAGAGTTTCAACCGATCAGCAAACCTTAATAAACACATTAAGATCCACACTGGTGTGGAACAGTATATGTGCTTTGAGTTTGAAAAGACTTTTATTACAGCTCCAAAATTGAAACTGTACCTGATGATTCACACTGACGAGGTTTAATCCTTTAACACATCTGAAAACACAAGATTATTGACACTGGAGAGAAACCGTACAGATCTGATCAGTGTCTACAGAATTTCGCTCATTCGACACAGCTTAAGAAACACATGGACAAAAAGTTGCACAAATGACATGAATGCACCTAAACATTTTCTCATGTGCACAGGATGTTTCATGTCTGAATAATGTTTGATGTGGCTGAGTGACAGTAAACGCAATCATGGCATCTGGGAGAAGAAAAGTTTTGTAAACATCTGGCAAACAGCACCTCTGTGGTTTAAAATCTCTTTGCAGGTGATTGTACAGGTGCGGATACATCTGTACTCCACTCTCCATTGTATTCATGTAGTTTGTGTTGTTTTGGATGGTGTTCTCTGTCTGACTCCATAAATGAGAAGCAAATCACTGGGTAGACACTGCACATCAAAGAAGGTGGAGCTCCAGGACGGTTAGTTTTCAGTATACCAGGGCCTCAAGTTTAGAAAGCCCATTCAATTGTCCTGTGTAGCAGCTTTTTTTAGTAAAATTTCTTTACTTTTAGGTTCAAAATTCTTCATAGTTTACTATATTTACTTTTTTGAGTAGAATACAATCGTGATGAATATTGTATGATTTAGGCAGAGCGACATGTATTAAGTTTTACAATATTAATACACTGTGATGATCCCAAGACTCCAGATTGGAGTATGTGGTAAATACTGATTGGTTGCTTGAATTACTTATCAATGGGTAACTAAAAGTTGTTGTGCTAGCTACCCCAAGATGCTGTGGCTACTCAGGAGTCCTCATGTCAAGACCTGCCATCTCATTGATTCTTTAACCTTATGGTTTTGTTTTGCATTGCTTGTATCATGTAGCTAAAGTGTTGTTGTGATTTATATCCTAAGTTCTTTATCTTCATTATTATCCCTAGACATTTGTTGGTTGCTTTGATTGATTGTTCTATGACTTGCATTTTATAATAAATAGTTAGCATTCAGGTTATTTTGTTGACTCATCTCTCTTTTATGTTGCAACTCAAACAATCGGGTCGCAAAACTTTGTAAAATGTGTCTGGTTGTGTCCGAGATCTTGTTCTTTTCAGTCATGACCATGGCTGCGAGTAGGAACCTAGATTGAGCGGTAAATTGAGAACATTGCCTTTAGTCTTAGCTCCTTCACCACAACAGACAATCCCATGAACTGCATAACTGCTGCCGCTGCACTGATCCATCTTTTAATCTCACCAAACTGGAGATGGCCACCTTTTTCAAGTCAAGCACCGTGGTTTTTGACTTGTAGGTGCTGTTTCTTTCCCTGCCATGTCACACTCAGCAGCAAATTGTCCCTCTGCATGCTGAAGGTCTATGTCCTATGAAGCCAACGGGACAACATTATCTGCAAATGACAGAGACAGTCCTAGCCTACACCTACAATCATGTCAGTTAAATTATTATATTTTTGAGATCAGCCTAAAATAACACATTTACAAAATAAAATGAATAAATAGATGGATGGATAGACATTGTAGTGATGGAAGGGGAAGTAGGATGTCTTGTCTAACCATAAACCAAGATGGAGCTCTCTCAGAAGGGATGGACCAGTGCGCGAGTTGTCTAAAACTGAAAACTTTATTGTTCCAGTTAAATTAATTGACTAAATTATCAAACTGTTTTAAATATTGTAAAGAATAATATAAGTAAAGCAGTAACTTTAGGTACGCAATTTATTTTGAGCATGACAGTTTGTTATTTTGAGTACCTCAGAGCAGTGGTTATCAATTCTGGTGCTTGTGCAAAATGAGTTGACATCCAGTGAAAATCAGAAAATATAATGTGTAAGAGCAATTTATTTAAAAATGAAAGGAAAGTGTTAAGTGTTTCAGGACATAAGAGCAAGTAATAAAATAGGCTATAGCCTATATTTCGCCCTAATGAAGCCCAGCTTTGGCCTGATCAGGCCCTGGAAGTGACAGTGGAAACGCGACCTGCCTGGGCTCCCTTGCTTTAGGTGCGATAGTGGAAATGGGGTTAATGGTTCTGGTGGCTCTCAATGGTGTGGAACACTAGTCAGTTTTTGTTGGCTTGTCACAGGGTTACCACCATTCCGTGGCAACACAGTAGTCCTCACTGTAGTGGGCAGATTTTTGAAGCAGCTTTCTTTATTTCACTCCCCAAATAATCTTCATTGAGGGAGACAGCAGCCATTGTCTTGGACCACATGTTCCGTATTCTTGGCCTCCTAGTTGACATGGTTTTAGACAGGGGTCTGCAATTTGTGTCCAGGTTTTGGGCAGAATTCTGCCGACAGCTGGGGGCGCCTACTAGCCTCTAACGAGCACCATCCACAGACCAATGGCCAGGCCGAGCAAGCTAGTCTGCAGCTGGAGAGGGTTCTGCATTGCATCGCATGCAGGGAACCATTATCTTGTAGTTCTACGTTAACCATGGTCAAATATGTATATAACTCACTTCCTATCTTGTCTATGGGCTTGTCTCCCTTTCAGTGCTGCTTAGACTACACAGCAAATTCATTGGTGTTAAATTTCAAGTGTTGTATTAATTCAGAGTAAAGTGTTAAAATTCTAGAGTTAGATAAAGGTAAAATAACCCTCTCGGCGTTAGAAGCTGATTTGCCTCCTTGTCACACAGAGTAACATGTATCTACCTTTGTAGAAAACCCTTGTATTTGAGAAACTAATCAGAGTGTCTGAAATCTCGCCACACCCTCATTCACCTGGCCCTTAAATTAGTCAATTAGTTTAGTCCACTAGACAGAGGGAATGACCACAAATAAGTGAATTCAGACACCTGCTGTTGAACACCTGCTGTTAACAAGCACAATCACTGAAGGAATAAGAAATTGAAGGAAGAAATAAAACTACAGACACAGCCTCACACCAAACTAACTGAATTAAAACAGAGGATTAAACAACTCCATTAAATAATAGCATAAGCAGCTTCACTGATTACAGTTTGACTTCATTTCTGTAAGAATATTTGACAATGAACAGAGGTTTATATTTTTTTATTAAAAATATTTCATTTGACCTCACCATCATGGAGATCAGAGGCTTCTTATTTGAGCTCTTGAAGCTTTACTCTTATATCATAATGTTTCTCTGACTGTTATAGCTGTGTTTCTAAAACTCATCAGCTATAGCAAGAAAGATCAAGAGAAACTATACTGTTTATGCTTAATTGTTATAAATTTAATTTCAAGTGTTTATTATGTTGATTCTTAAAGAAATGCAAATATAGTTGAATTAAAGCTGCATGGGACAATACAACCGGTAGTCTGCTGCTTTTCATAGAAAATTCAACAA